GGGGGGGTCATTACCTGTCTCTCAGCACCAATCCATAATGGTTCAGCATCCTCCCACCAGAATGATTCGTACGACTCTGGGTTACCGCCTATGTCAAATATTTTATTTCTGTCTGCATCATACATGAAGTTTGATACCATGCCATGGTTCTCACAATGTAAACCTGAAACAAGGAATTAGGTGATATAATAGACAGGTACATACGCGTACACGGTTATAAAAAATTGGATATCTTTTTACTTTTAGAGGTGCAGATTTGAGTTTTTTATACAGTGTACAGCAGATGTGAGTGCAAAAACGCAATTTTGAGTAGAGTGATTACTGGAATAATAATGAGGTTAGAACTTTTAATGATTTCGGCATCGACAATAAATTAACACTATATAATATGTTACGAGCGTTATTATGTACACAAAGGTGCTTCCCCCTACCATTCCAGGATTTTCAACACTCGTCTTCAAGGTCCGGCCATTTACAATACATAATTTGTCCAAAGTGCGACAGAGAATACCATACGCATTTTCTCCAGGATGTGGAAATTAATAGTCTAGAGAGAATTTATCATAAGGTGGACCAAATGGGGCCTTACATTCTGTATTTAAAATATACACCCAACAGCAGTATGTATTTTTAATCATACAGCTTTTATAGTTGTTTTTAGTACAACGACGCTTTTCCAGAGCAAATCATTCCCGATATTCCGATAGATATATATATATGTATGTATGTATGTATGTATGTATGTATGTATGTATGTATGTATTATATTGGCTAATATAAATAAACCTTTATCTTATCTTATGAATCTAGTAAGGCCACATTTACAAAGGCAAGAGCAAGACCCAAAGAGCATCTACGTCTACAACGTACCAGTTTCATTACATCATCCGAGTAATGTCCATGAGACAGATTTTAAGGCTTTTTATGTGAAATAAAAGATTAAAATGTTTACCCATTGTCACATGTGCACTTGGCATTGGCGAAAAGGGGGCGGCTCAACAGAGAAGTGCAGTTTTTCCCGCCTGGTTGGCAGCAAGCAAAATCACGTAAGATGCAATTCATTACTGCCAAAGATCTCAGCATTCATGAATTCATTAATTAATACAATTATATAATTACCTGTACAAGGGCCATTCTGCAAAGCCACAGAGAGGGATTAATAACGTAACATACCTGTCATAATGGAATAATAATTGGGATATGATGAGCTCGGAAAACTGGGTCGCATTTTCGTCGCGCGGGCACCTTGCATTTCTATCTGTTTGAAGGCAGGTAGGTTCTCTCTGTCGGCATAATCCCATCTCATGCCGTCCACAAGTAGAAGTAGTAGCTTGTTCGCTGACAGGGTTACCCTCACCGAACAAGATATGCACAGAAATTGAAAAACAAGCAGGCGCCATCGCTGAGAACTCGCCATTCTGCTGTGCCGTCTTGTTTCTATCTTACATGGATTAGGCCAGGGGAAGTGAGGGTAGTGGGTCTAAGTAGAACGGAAACTAAAATTTACAGCGGACTCAAGAGAATTTTTAGCCCCAATGTTGATGAGGGGAGTAAAGATAAGGGGAGTTATCGGTGAGGGGGAGTAACGTTCGGTGTGCGTATAACGGTAATTTTACAGGGGATGCATGGATGCGGGGATCTATGGATGCGAGGTCGTGTCGATCGTTACATTCCTAAACGTTACCGCACCGATACACCGCCGTACCGATGCGTCTCCGCAAAATAGTATTAAAACAGTTTTTTTAAATTAAAAAGTCGATACTAGATACTCCCTTGTATCTATATTTCCCCTCATCTCAACGTTCAGCGATATTCCAGCCCACCGTTACTCTCTCGCAGCATAGGTTACCTTTGGTTAAAATGCGACATCCAAATATAAATCCTTTATCTTAAAAAAACTTTGATTTAAATACAATTTTTTCAAAAGTACACCACCCCCGCGGGACCCGAAAGTGTCGTGGTAAAATAAGGAAACAATTGTTAAAATCGAACTGCTTCAATGCTTTAAAACTTAGAACGTAGGTGAGGATTAATGTGTGCAGTATCACCGACGTTTACAATTTTTTTGCGACTTTAAAAAAATGGATGTAATATCTCACTTCGTTCTTCAACAGTGGCAACGGTAAAAACATTACACACCCTTTTCATTTAGTTATTTGCTTAACCAAAATTAAATAAACCGCCACAGCATCTTCTTCAGGCACCGTTTGGTTCATCGAATAAAAAAGAAGCACCCGAACCAGTGCCTTAGCGCTAAATTGTCGCCTTTATCTCAGGCTTCGTAGAAATAGAAGTATTTGGAAGTTATGTGATCTTTTGACGAAAAATAAAAAAAGCAGATATACGGTATGGGGGGAGGGGGCATTGAGGCGAGATAGAATGGTTGGGAGGGAGAAGCGGTGTGGGGAAATGTTTTGGGGACGTATAGCGGGTATAGAGATGACCCTATGGCTTGGTTCACATGGAAAGTCTATTTTCTAAAAATCTATTTTCTATTCGCGGTATCTTATGATCATGGTCTGTGCCCTGAATATCCCGCGGCGTAATTACTGGCAGCGCGAGCCAATAACTTATAGTAACTGGCTCGCGCTGCCAGTAATTACGCCGCGGGATATTCAGGGCACAGACCGTGATCATAAGACATACCGCGAATAGAAAATAGAATTTTGAAAATAGACATTGCATGTGAATGAAGCCTATGTCTTTAATGTAACTGGCGTAATGAAAATAAAATCAAACAACTCATATTGTACCTTAAAATGCTTTACTCTTATCCCTTGCATAATATATAAATAACAAGAGTTGCAATTATGTGTTTTGCAAATAAATTAAAATAAACAAATATCTTACCATGAAACAATACATAAGATGTACCTTCATAAACAAGTTTAAGTTGTAGCTAAATGCAAAATAATAAAAACATATAATTTGCCCCAAATATTACAATAAATGTTCAACACACACACATAAATATATGAGGAAGAGATGTGTAGTTTGCAAGCAATATAGCAGTTCTTGAAATACAAATTACAATGCACATAAACAGGGAACAGCCAAAGCTGTATATATCTCTGTTTTTCTTGGATAATTTCTAAACATCAAATCATTTATATTTGCTGAAATGTTGCATCTGATCTGAAATTTTAGATATAATATGCACTATTACTCATTCTTGTTATCAAAAGATCTTCCCAAGCTAAATATTTTATGTCTGAACTATATAAGAGCTATGACTTTACTGATTTGGATAAACTGTTGGCACATCATTGCTTTGGACAACTTAGGACCAAAAATCTGTTCCAGTTAAATAAAAAATTCAAGTTATGCAACATTTATGGATTTCAGCTATAACCAAAGAAAAAATTAAGTCCACAAGATGTGAGATTGACCATAATAAGTAATAAAATGTGAGAAGTTAGGGTCTACTACATATTTAAAATCTTTAACATGCACATCTCTCTCTTTCTTACATGTATACATGTTAAATCAAAACATTAAAAAGAATTCCACCAACCTACAAGAATAATATTTGTTTCAATATTTAATATTAATGTCAACAATGTCAGTAATTTTTGTCTAAACACATTATTGAAATTGTTTTGCAATGGCACGCATTACGTTTAAGCTCAAAATGGTCAATTATCTAAACTATACTGCTCTATAAAAAGCAAACAATTTATGTGATACATGTAATTATCGGACCATTACAGAAACTTAATTTGATCTCAGAACCTACAAAATAAATTGCAGTTGTTTGCTGATGGTTATAACTGAGGTCTTTGATTCATTCAATTTCTCTTTGTCATATCTTCCCTTTCCATTTTTGCTTTGGATGTGAAACACTACAGCTGTTCAGGTTCCCTTTTAAGTCCATCAAATTTCTACACCCTGCATATGTCAGACATTAATACGTAGGTACTATCATACTACTAGCTAGTACATTTCCAAGACCCAACAGCAGTGACCACCACTTGCTGTGCAAAGAGGAGTGTGTGAAACTCAGGGTGCTTAGATTAAGCTGAGAAATTTGTGCAGATGTAGATTCAGAATCTCAGGGTGCAGTGTGCTGGGAAATATAGGCAAATGTACATATGTTAAAACATACTGACTGAACACAGATAAAGTCTAACAGAGGTCCACTAACTGCCTTTTTTACTAAATTTGAGAAAACCTGTCAGAATTACTGACTTATCAAAATGGAATTCATATTTGATAGCTGGTTCGGAAAATGAAAAACTGCATAAAACAATGTACAAATATTTCAAATTTCTTCGCATCTCTGCTTGGGAATTCTTCATGATAATGATGCTATATTTGTTATCTTTGTACTAAAGAAATCAGCATATTTCTGTTTTAGTTGTATCCAGAATCTACAAGTGTATGAGGCAGTGAAATGCCTCTATTTTTTCTCTCAAGCACCTATAAAATTTTGTTTTCTCACTCCATTTTCCAAAAATAGCTCAAACAAGAGGCAAGACATAAAACATTTTGAATATATTGAATATCATTGTGGTATTTTTTCTGAAAACACAAATCAAAAAAGAACAAAACACCAATATTTCCAAGATATGCATAGATGCAGGTCTTGGCTTTTGGGGTAAGCAAAAACTGTATATGTGCAAGGACTGTCCTATTGGGGTTAAGTTAGGAAAGTTCTGAATGCACCCATAGACACCAATCAATGTAAATACTTATCACAGAAGTTGGAAATTACTACGCCCACAGATGCCAAAAATGTTCCTGAAAATAAGAAATATAAATTTTTTATCTCATCTTTGTACAAAAAAACAACTTTGTCTAATCACTGTCAATACTTACATCACCTCAATATGGCTCGTATGTGCTTGGATTAAAAGAAAAAGATGACCCATATTTTACTTAAAGTCGTTTGTGTGTTGAATACTGTACAGGGTACAGCTACAGCCATTTTAGTCTAACAGTACAAAAAATAGTCAAACCACAGGACTTACACTCATCACAAATAAAGCATCTGAGAGAAAAATTTATAAAGGTGGAAAGACCGACAATTGAGGGTCTTTACAAAACTATCAGCCAAAATTACAAAGCTCAGTTCTATACCAGTATCACCATGAACTTAATAAAATAAACGCAAGAATGACTAAAGAGTTGATTAAGAAAATGCACATATATTTTCTGGTGCAGTTCAACTTTCCACTCAAACAAGGGCCTTCACCAAGGAAATCAGATCCTCCTCTGGCAGAAAAAAAAGCCACAACCACAGAAAAAAAAATGCTCCAACATTCCCAGAGAGAAATGCCCTCCTCTACAGGACGAAGAAATTGCTCCCTCTATAGGTCTCTGTCTGTAAAATCAGTCTTTGTATAAGAGAAATCGTCTCTCAGAAAAGCAAGATCATCATATTCTCTTTTTCGATATCTGGAAAAGAAGGTATGGTATTACCATGACAACAGGGCATCACAGTACACAAGCCAAGCAAAATTGATCAAGCTAAAGCCATTCCCTGCCTTGTGGGCTGAACAGAGTAATTCTATATCTAGAAAGTCAATATTTTGAATTTCCCCCAATGTTCACTGTTAAACCTCAGATACTCACCCTGAGCTTCAGAGATAACTTGACACTAACCTCTTCACAATAGCCTATCTTCATCGTGTCAAGTTACCTCTGACGAAAATAGTTTGACCTAGTTTATATAAGCCAATCGAATCCAAGTTTCAAAATTTTTCACCAAAGTTTGGTGAAAACGCTGATTGGTTGACCGTCAATCGGTAATCCTCGGCTGATTCCGCAAGCTCCATACTAACAACAAAGTTATTGTCGAGTGCGGAGACATCTGAGTAGTGCCGAGTGCATAACCGTACACAAAGAAAGCATGGCGTCTTCTACGAGTGACTACGTAAAATAATGTGTTAAGTTATCTCTTGATTCTTTGCAAAATATGAGTATATCGGAATTGAAACCAGAGCAGTTTGAGGCCCTGCATCATTATCTACTGAGGGATGATGTTTTTTGCGTGCTGCCCACAGGTTACGGCAAGTCCCTGATATTGAGCCTTATCTCTGATTGGTCCGGATTTGAACAAAGCACGCTTTGACTCTTTCGCGTTCATTGGCTAGATCATTCAATGAGTCATTGAGTGCGGGCTTTAAATTTGATTGGCAGGCGGCAGGGGCAATCGAATGTGGTCAGAGGTAGCTTGACACGATGAAGATAGGCTATTGTGAAGAGGTTAGTGTCAAGTTATCTCTGAAGCTCAGGGTGCAAATACCGTACTCACCTTTTCCAAATACACACTCCTACAATAACCAGCCCCACCACAATCAACAGTCCTAATATTACAAAGCCAGCGTTGACTCCACCACCTGAAACAGATTTTAATTAAACGCGTACTGTAAGTCTGTGGCTGAAATACCAGATTTGTTTCAATATTTTAGACATAAATTATACTTTGTGAATCCAGACTTCCTTTTTGCTTTGTTTGAAAAGGGCTCATCAATTAATTGGGCACGTTATTGAAAAACAAAATAAAAATAAATTAAATTTCAGCTTGTATCTTGGCCACTTCTGTATAATACTAACAGCCAATTCCAAATAAGGATCATTCCACAAATAAAGTGAACATTTGGGTTACGTAATTTATAGTGATGCAAAAATTTTGTATAATATGTGCATAATTTTGACATAAAAGTGGTGCATCACTGACAAAACTTATTACTTTTCTTGTGGAATGACCCATTTATGAAGTGCCAATCAGTTTCATAACGATCCTCATAATTTATACTCACTCTGTGGCTGTGCAGTTGGAGACAAAGTTGAAGATGTTGATGAAGATGTAGTCTCAGGTGGCGATGCTGATGTAGTCGTTGATGTATTCGGCTGGTCAAACATGGTCAAGGTACTCATAGCTTCCCAGGATCCATTATTAGCTGCTGCTTCTATCCCAAGTATCTTACACATTACTTGATACACGTCTGTGTTATTGATGAGGTCCACTTTAGAGTTGGCGTTAAAATCTGAAGTGATGACAAATGATTCAATGTTAATGTCTATGATTACTTCTTTCAGTTTCATATTCAAAATGATGAGTTTTTGCAAAGAATTGTAGACAACTCTTTCATCTGTGCCAGTCCAGCAATCTGATAATTACTTTCCATATTTTGTAGCAATTAACAGCAATCTGTGATAATTTATATACAAAACATGCTTCTCTGGGCCTTAAAAGTGTATTATCTTTCTTT